TGGAACAGGGCCGGCCGCTCGCGGAAGGCGCGGCCGCACTGCGCGCACACGAAGGGCTTCTCGCCCGTGTGGATGCGCCGGTGGCTGAGCAGCACGGCGCCCTTGGCGAAGGCCTTGCCGCAGTCGGCGCAGCGGAAGGGCCGCTCGCCCGTGTGCAGCAGCTGGTGCTGCGTGAGGTTGGAGCTGTGGCTGAAGGCGCGGCCGCACTGCGCGCAGGTGAAGGGCTTCTCGCCCGTGTGCACACGCTGGTGCTTGAAGAGCGAGGAGCCCTGGCTGAAGGCGGCCCCGCACAGCGCGCAGGCGTACGGCTTCTCGCCCGTGTGCGTGCGCTCGTGCTGGATGAGGTGCGAGTTGCGGCAGAAGCGCCGGCCGCAGCGCGCGCAGGCGTAGGGCCGGCCGCCCGCGTGGATCTTGCGGTGCTGGCTGAGGTTGGAGCCGTGGCTGAAGGCCTTGCCGCAGTCGGCGCAGCGGAAGGCCTTCTCGGCCGTGTGGATGCGCTGGTGCCGCACCAGCGAGGAGCTGTGGCGGAAGGCCTTGCCGCAGGCCGGGCAGGCGTAGGGCGTCTCGCCGCTGTGGATGCGCTGGTGCTGCGTCAGGTGCGAGGTCTGGCTGAAGGCCTTGCCGCACTGCGCGCACTCGTAGGGCCGCTCGCCCGTGTGCGTGCGCAGGTGCTTGAGCAGGTCCGAGCTCTTGACGAAGACTTTGCTGCAGGCCCGGCACTCGAAGGTCTTCTCTCCGGGCAGGAGGCCGGGGCCCGCCGCGTGCAGGGCCTCGCCCAGCTCCGCCCAGGGCGCGGGCTCCTGGCCGGCGGCGGCGAGGAGTGTCCGAGGCTCGTGCCAAGCTGCCCCCAGGCCTAGCTGCCCCGCGGGGTGGCCGGCCCCGAGGCCGGGGACACTCTGGAAGGTCCTCCCCGGGGGCTCCCGAGGCTGAGCGCCTGGCTGGACGAGGTCGGTGAAAGCGGCCCCGGTGGGTGCGCTGCCCGCGGGCGCCCGAAGCTGGGGGGTCAGCCGCAGGCTCACACCGGCCTCCCCGCTGCCTGGGCCCAGCAGGAGCCGCTCCCAGTAGATCACGGAGACCCCCGTGGGCTTTCTCTCCCCAGACGAGGAGCGGCCCCGACGCCCCTCCAGGCGATCTCCCGGCTCGCAGGCGGCAGCGGTGGGGGGGACCCCGGGAGGTGTCAGGGGCGGCCTTTCCGGGAAGGTCCACGCTGCTTCCCCAGAAACAGCTCTGTCCTCTGCCGGGCGCTGGGAACCTGAGGGACCAGAAGCAGTGGGTGCCTGGGTCACCGTGACCAGGAGGAGGGGACCCGGGAAGGCAGGCGGGCGGGCGGGTGGGCAAGGGGGGCCCCAGGTCTGGGTGTGGAAGCTGCAGAGAACACAGCCTTCCGGTCTGCAGCGCCCCCGCCTGGTGGCTGCCTGAGCCGGGGGTTTGATCATGGACCGTTAGCTGATTCCCCTCCTCCAGCACAGCCAACGCCAGGGAGGCAGCGCCAGGAACGTGCCGGCCAAAGCTGTGTCCCTGGTGACCCCGAGAACCGAACAGAGGGAGTGAGGTGGGAGGCAGCAGAGTGTGGGGAAGAGGGACCCCCCCCTCCCCGGCCCCTGGAGGCCGCACTCACCAGGGCTGGGCCTCCTCGGGGCGTCCCTGGCCAGGGCCACCTCCAGGCCACTGAGAACCCAGGGCTCCTCACCGCGCTCGAGCTGGAGGACTACCCGAGGTCGGGAGGCAGAGAGTCCTGTAGGGGCAGGCGAGCAAGTGAGGGGCTGGCTCCAGCGCAGGACAGCCAGCTGCCCGACAGGAGGACTGTCCGCTCAGGGCTCGCAGGAACAGCTTCCTGTGCCTGTGGGGAGGACTGTGTGGGCAGGACCGGAGGAAGAGCGCTGAGCCCAGGCCCTGAAGGGACCCTCGGCCAGGGGCGTGGGGCTGCTCAGAGGCCCCTGGGAGGTGAGGGGGTTCGTGCTGGTGGACCAGCCTGGCAACCACGGAGCTTTCCCAGGGGGATCCCAGGGCCTTACCCAGCGAGGCCACCAGGGCGAAGTTCTCCAGCATCACCTGGCGGTACAAGGCCCTCTGGGCTGAGTCCAAGAGCCCCCACTCTTCCCGGGAGAAGTACACGGCCACGTCCTCAAAGACCATCAGCGCCTGCGACAGTGGGCGGGGGGAGACCGCACGGCCTACGTGACGGCCCTGTGACCCAGGCCTCCCTGTCCCAATGGCCACCTCCCCCAGGGCCCTCAGACATTCCCCCTCCCCCCTCCCCAGGGCTCTGCAGGTGCGGGCCCCCTCACCCCTGTGGGCCCCTCTTTGGTCGGGGTTGGACCCTTTTTTCTGCCAAGGGCCATTAGGATGTTTACAACGTCATTCACAGGCCGTACAAAATTATCAAAAAGTAGCCTGCTTGCCCGAGCCGGCTTGGCTCAGTGGACAGAGTGTCAGCCTGCGGACTGAAGGGTCCCAGGTTCAATTCCAGTCAAGGGCATGTACCTTGGTTGCGGGCACATCCCCAGTGGGGGGTGTGCAGGAGGCAGCTGATCAATGTTTCTCTCTCATTGATGCTTCTAACTCTCTATACCTCTCCCTCTCTGTAAAAAAATCAATAAAAATATATATATATATAAAAAAGGTAGCCTGCTATATTGGTCAAACATTTCATTAACTCACCCCTCGTGCCTTGGCAGGGCCAGATCAAATGACTTCACGGGCTTCTGTGGCCCGCGGGCCGGATGTTCCCCACCCCTGGTACGCCTTAGATGCCTCCTCGCCTGCCCGCTGGCCACTCCAGACAAGGCAGCCAGAGCCACCCCCACCGCCCACTGGCTGCCACCCCACGGGCAGTCCCAGGCCATCCCGCAGCTGTTGCTCAAGCTGCGCCTCCCCAGATGTGCTCCCACTGCTCTCGCCATAAGCAACCGTAGGATTAATTCCTAGTGGTCCCGCCACACGGCCTCGCTGAAACTGCCCGAAGGCCTGGCTGGTCCCCTCAGCCTCCACTCTGGCAGGGCAGACAGGAGCCAGTTCCTCCCCTCCTAGCCACACCCCTTCTTCTTCTTTTTTTAAAATATATTTTTATCGATTTCAGAGAGGAAGGGGGAGGGGGAGAGAGAGAAACATCAGTGATGAGAAGCATTGATCGGCTGCCTCCTGTATGCCCCACACTGGGGATGGAGCCCACAATCCGGGCATGTGCCCTGACGGGAATCAAACCATGACCTCCTGGGTCATAGGTTGATGCTCAAACCACTGAGCCACGGTGGCAGGGCCTTGGCCTTTCTATGTCCTTCTCACTCGGCTGCCACCTGCCAGACTACCTGAAGCCGTGGGCACTGCGGGCCTCCTCCTCTCCTTGGGGCAGTGACTGCCCATCTATGGAAGGTGTGACCCTCCCTGACCTGGGCTCAGGACAATCAGACCCCTGCTGATTGCCCCCTGAACCCCGATTTCCCTGCAAATTCCGGATTTTGTGTCCAGCAGCTCCATTCTTCCGGTGCTCAGACTAGGAAACTTGTGAAGGTCCGTCCCTCAGGCACCCCCTCTCACACGCCTGGAACTGGATATGCGCCTTTGTGTTGGGAATGCAACCGGTTTCGTCTCCAGTCTGGGTCGCTTGCATCATGGCTG